TTTTGTTTTGTTTTAAGATGGATGCCTAAAAGATGAGTCCAAGAGATGAGAAAAGGTTCACTGATAAATTATCAAGTCATCTATCTAGATGGAACCCAGGCAAGAATTCTTAAAGAATTCAGATTTAAAATGTAAAATGTATGTTGTAACAAAAATAAGCAGCCTGTCCCTAAAGTTAGTATTTGGATTGAACAATTGGAAAATACATGATGTAAAACCAGTAATAATTGTTGAAGAGATTAGGTGTATGGGATGACAGGCCAGTTAGTTTAATCCCTGTTCCAGGGAAATTGGTGGAAAGCATTATTAAGTACAGGATTATTAAGCATATAAAGTAAAAAGTCTTGCTGAGGAGAAAATTCCTTGCTCCTGCAAAAGGAAGTTCTGCGTTTCCATCCTTTTATATGTCTTGGGTGGCATCAACATGTATATAGGTGTGGCCCAATAGAAACGGTATAGTTCCAGTTTTCTTTTTAATGAAAAACTTCTCTCCCCAAAGGCTTCTTACCAATTATTGGAAATGAGAATGAGTATTATTATTATGGGTTGGTAGCAGCTTCAACAGCAAGAGAGTGGGAATGATTTTCACAATTTAGAGGAATAGGAAGTGGGGTCCTTCCTATTCAATTCTTTTTTACTTAATAATAAATGATATGGATTTAGAGGTGAGCCTTTAGGTAACCAAAGCACTCAGGATGTTGAAAACCAAAGCAGACTGCAAAGACCTTCTAAAGAATTTCTTGAAACTAAGTGAATTGGTAACAAAATGGCAAATGCAGCTCAGTGTGTCTAATTAAGCCAAACTTCTTAATGTCATATATACACTGATGGCTTCTGAACTGCTAGTGACTAACTAGGGAAAACATACTAGCATTGTGGTAGGTACCGTATTTTTCGCTCTATAACATGCACCCGACCATAACACGCACGTAGTTTTTAGAGGAGGAAAATCCGCAGGCATGCTACCCGTATGCATTCCCTCCATAACACGCACAGACATTTCCCCTTACTTTTTAGGAGGAAAAAGTGAGTGTTATGGTGCAAAAAATACGGTAACTTAAATCATCAACCAAATGTGTGGTAGCTGTGAAAAATGTAAAATCCATGTGAGGAATTATGAGTGATCAAGTTCATAGTGCCCTAATACAAATCCATGGTGCAGCCACACTTGGAATAATATGTGCAGCTCTGGTTTCCCCACTTCATAAAGAATATTGTAGATTAGTGAAAGGCATAGAATACTGAAGTCAAAATAAACACTTGCCCTGTGGCAAAAGTCTACAAGCTTTAGAACTTTTTAGTTTAGAAAAGTAACTAAAGGGGGACATAATAGAGACTAGCAACGTTATGCATGGTGTAGAGAAAGTAGGCAGAGCAATGTTTTCCCCCTCTCCCATAATATCAAAACACAGGTTAATCAAATGTTATTGATAGCCAGGAAATTCAGGACATAAGAAGGAAGTACTTCTTCACACAGCCCATAATTAATTTTATGGAATTTGCTATCACAAGATATGGTGATGACAGAAAACTTAGATGAATTTAAAAGGGGATTAGACAAATTCATCAAGGATAAATCTATCAGTGACTATCAGTCATGAACTCTGTATGGATCTTCCAAATTCAGAAGCGGTATGGAACTGAATGCCAGTTGCAGGGGGAGGGGTGTAGAGTGGACAGTTACTTTCAGTTATTGATTGTGGGAAACAGAATGCTTGACTTGGTGAATCTTTGGCCTGATGTGGCACGGCTGCTTCTATCTTCCCAAGATTGTGCAGTATGTTTGGAGTATCTCTGATATGAAAAAAGTTGCTAAATCCATGTGGATTGCAGATTAGAGAGAGATTGTGCAAGCCAACAGAAAGTAAAGTTGGTTTAGAAGCCAAGGCCATGGAATTTAGTACAGACTTTCCTGTTCAAAGTACAATAAACTTCACTGTTGTTGCACTTTACAGAGTACTAAAGAATAGAATAGTTTGGCAAAATAAAATACAGTATACTGCTTTATAAAAGTATACAGAAATATTTACATACTATGACTACTCTAAAAATGCTGTTGATAACCACACAATTTGGAAAAGTTAATACCAAGTGGAAATATCAGGGCCAAGAATGAAATAATACTTTTCACACCAAAGATGTGAACACACTTTCCCACTATCATACATTTCCAAATGCTGTCTTCTGCCTATTATAAGCTTTACTCATTTTCTTGTCAATAGCTCATCATCCATAGTGTCAGAGCTGCCCTAGGTCCCAGCTCACAAAGGACCAACGCCAGTTCGTTGTTATATAAAAGTCTTTATTGAAGCTCAGTTTCGCCTTCACAGCCGCGGCGCGCAGCTCTACGTCTCAAACTCTAGACCGCCGAAGCTCCGTCTGAGTCTCCTCCCCCCAGACACCAGTTTAAGACTCTAGCCTTGCTCCACCTCTTCCTTTGCTCTTTCCTCCTCTGGGTCCGCCTGTCCGCTGGGGTCTTCCCCTTCCTAGACTCTTCTGACGCTGAGTCCCCTGAGTCTTCCCCCTGCCTCCGGCGGGCTTTAGGACCTGGTTCCCAATCCGGGTTTTCTGCTGTCCCGCGCGCCTGTACATTTGAACTTGGCGCGCGCGCCCAGCCGGTCACCTTCCTTCTGACCGTTACACTGCTCCTGTCACTGCTTCCCCCTTCGGGGAGGCTAGCTGGATCTGACCTCCCCTCCGTTCCCCCACTCTCCGATAGAGGCGTAGTCAGTCCTGACTCATCTTCTCTCCCTGCTGGAGGAGACGCTGGCCCTGGCACATGGGACTCTTCCCCCCCGCTACGCTCTGGTGGGGAAGCTGGTCCTGATCTCCCGCTGCTGCTTTGGGAGTCCCCGCTGGCCCCTCGCTTCTGGTGCGTCCCCCCTGGGACCCCCCTTGCCCTGACCATCGGCGCCCCCTTCTGGGAATTTTCTGATTCGCTGGAGAGGCTCATGGAATCTCTCGGGTCACTGTCATTCTCCCCTCCGCTGCCCTCAGATTCTTCCCCTTCGCTCTCCATTTCCTCTCTCCCCTGTGCCTCTGCTCCTGAGCCCCTGACACATAGTTTCTCAAATGGGTTGTGCTCATTAAGTCACTGCTTTTCAACCAGTGTGCCGTGGCACCCTGGAGTTCCTTGAATGATGGTCAGGGGTGCTGCAGGCAACAATGGCCTCTGTCCCTCTTTCTTTCCCTTCTTCCTCTGATACCCTTTCACGTCTCTGCCTACCAAAGGCTTGCACAGCTGTTTATTGCAACAGTCCTGGCTATAAGCTCCGCAAGCGAATGGTGCCTCTAGGAGGCACCTCTCTTTGGGGCAGTGGGGACTCAGAGACTGCCCAGAGGACTCCCAAGGAGAGGAGAGGAGGTTGAGGGAACACTACACAAGGGTGGGTGTTTGGGAAAGGGTGAGAGGCTGGTAGCTCTGCAGGCAAGGGGTAACATAACTGGGCTCCTGAGCCCCACAGAGGTGCTGCAGAAAGAAGGTAGTTGATTATGGGAGCTGTGGACTCAAAAAGGTTTAAAACCTCTGCATTAAGTGATTGTGACCATTTCTTACTATTGTTTAATATGGCAATAGATCTAGTTCTCCTTACTACTCTAAAATAGCTATAATCTCAATACATTACAGGTTTTCTATCTGGATAGGTGGTGATGGTATGTGTGTGCTAAAATCAAATTGCATCTCCCCACCACTTAAAACACTGTCACATGTAACTTCTAGATATTCTGAGAAAATGCAATTCTATTTAAAAGGCAACCCGAACATCCTTCCTAAAACTGTATTTTACCAGAGAAACACACAGAAGATTTAGAGACTAGCTCCGGGACAGTAAGGTAGAATGTTACCATAGATTTGTCATTGGACATATGATGCTGTATGTACCGTATTTTTCGCTCTATAGGACGCACCGGACCGCAAGACGCACCTAGTTTTTAGAGGGGGAAATCAAGGAAAAAAATATTATTTCCCCCAGAGCCCCAAAGAGCCCAGAGCTTCTTGGGGCTGTGGGGGAAACCTGGGTCGTCCCCCCCCAGCCCCAAAGAGCAAAGAAGCCAAGACAGCGAGCGGGAACCATCCCACTGGCTGTCTTGGCTTCTGCCACAGCCGTGCAACCTCTCCAGCCAGGAGCTAAGCCTCTCCAGCGCGGCTAAAGAAGCGTGGCTAAAGAAGCCAAGGCAGCGAGCACGATCCATCCCGCTCGCTGCCTTGGATCCCTCTTTAGCCTTGCGCAGCCTCCCCTGGCTGGAGAGGCTGCGCTCGGCTATGGCAATTCCCCCACCTCCCGCAAAAGCCCACAGGAGCCGAGCACCCTCCTGGGCAAAAGCCCGCAAGAGCCGTGCAAAGCTTGTGTGCGGCTCTTGGGGGCTTTTCCTGCCTGCTTCCCCCCTGCATTCACTCCATAGGACGCAGAGACTTTCCCCCTTAGTTTTTAAGAGGGGAAAAGTGCGTCCTATGGAGCGAAAAATACGGTAAATATGCAAGCTACCGTTTTAATGCTGAAAGATTAAAAAAACGCTAGCATACTGATAAAAGCATTTCTGTAGCATAGGTAAAGACAAACCTCATAAATTCTTGGTGTACACTTTATTCTACATGGGAAAATATGTCTATTGTAGGCATAATCTTAAAAGATAACAGTGGTGTTATTTTCTAAAATGCAAGAGTACAATTATACTATATGGTGCAAGCATGGTGAGATAGAATCAAAGGCTTAGTAATTAATACACTGATGTGCTTTGGCTCTTCTGGACTGTAGTGTACTTTAAAAGCAAAACACATTTCTGGTTAAAATGCTTGTCAAATTAAAGCTGCAATCACAAACATACAGTCCAAGTAGTAAATCCCATTTAACTTGGTGGGACTTGCATCTGAATAAACATGAATAGAGTTGACCTGTCAGAACTGTTAGGGCAAAGAGGTAAGGAGTTGTGGTAGGGCAGCTTTGTTCATTTGAGGCTGCTTAGTTTTAACAAGAACAAATTCTCTATTTGTTACACAGGAACCTAGACTGCGAGTTGTGCCTCTTATTCTGTGGATCATTTGGAGAAATACACTCAAAGCAAGATACTAATTGGTAAGTGGCCTCCATAAACGCTTAAGGAAAAGGTTGTAGCTAGATTTTTCCTTTTCAAAAGAGGTATTTGGCACATCTAACTGTAGTCTTAGGACAGAGTATTCTGGCAAAGACAAGGCCTTGTTTAGGAGCTGTAAATCATAATGAGAGAAATGTTTCATGCCCAGCTGGTCAATTAGGCTTCAGTGTGCTTAATTTAATGAAGTGAAATAAGCAGGGGTAGAAAAACTGTATGGCACAGAATGTAGAGCATAGCAGCCTGAGCAGAATGTTCAGATTCTTGGCTTTTGTCATTTTAGACTGCATGTTGCTTCCAGTCACATAGTTGTATAGAAAGAATGTGGAAATGTGAGACAACCGTTGCTCAAAACATGAGCCAAATTCAAGCCTAAACCCCATGGAATTAGTGAAAGATTTTATCTGCAATCCTATACAAACACTTACCTGGGAGCAAGTCCTTTCGAATCCATAGGATTTATTGAGTAGATGTAACTGAAATTTGTGATGACATAGTTCTACTAACCCAGAGCTAAGGAATTATTGGCCATACTTCCACAATTGTAGCCTGCTCTTGAATGCCTATTGCCCTCTCTTCAGTAATTTCTGTATCAGTTTGGGTTCCCCTCCTCCTTCAAAGTCCTCAAAAAGAAGGACCTAGTCCAGCATCCTGTTCTCACAGTGGCCAAACAAATGCCCAGGGGAACCCTGCAGGCAGAACCTCATCTGCATTTCCCAGCAACTGTTATTTGTATTGCCTCCATCAGTGGGAGCAGTACACAGCCTTTGTGTCTAGCAGCCATTAATACTCTTCTCCTCCAGGAATTTCTCCAATCCTCCTAAAGGCATTCAAGTTGGTGGCCATCATCACTACATCTTGTAGGACCAAATTTCATTGTTCAACTATGCAGGGTGGGAAAAAGTGCTTTGTTTTGTCTGTCCTGAATCATCCAGTACTCAGCTTCATTGTTTTTGTATTATGTGAGGGAGAAAAACCTCCCTCTGTCCACTTTCTCCACACTCTGTACAAGCTTGTACACCTTTATCAGGTTCCCCTTTACTTGCACTATTTCTAAACTAAAATGCCCCTAATGTTGTAACCTTTTCTCATAGGGGAGTTACTTTTCCCCCTTGATCATTCCTTTTGCCCTTTCCTGAACTTTTTCCAGCTCTACAAATTTCTTTTTGAGGTGAGGTGATTAGTACTATACCCAGTATTCCAAGTGCTCTTGCACCCTAGTTTGTGTAGTGGCATTATAACACTGGGAGTTTTATTGCTCAATCTCTTTCTGCATGATCCAGCATGTGGAATTCACCTTTGTCTGCAGCTGCCACATACTGAATTGACATCTTCATTGAGCTATCCACACTATGATGCCAATGTCTCATTCCTGGTCAGTCACTGACAGTTCATATGTGAAATTAGGATTCCGCCCCCCCCCCTTCCAAAAAACATGCATCTCTTAACATTTGCTTTCACTGAATTATATGTGCCATTTTACTGTTCATTTACTCAGTTTGGACAGATACTTTTGGAGCTCTTTACTGTCTTTCTTTGTTTTAACCATCCTGAACCATTTGGCATCAGCAAACTTGGCCAACGCATTGCTCACCTCTAACTCTAGCTCATACATATATGAATGAGTTAAAAAGCATAGGTCCCAATAACAATCCTTGGAGGGACTCCACTTTCTATATCCTTCCACAGAGGACTTTCTGTTTTCTGTTCCTTGTTAATGATCCATTAGAGGGTCTCTTCCCTTACCCCTTGTTTGCTAAGTCTACCCAGGAGTCTTTGGCATGGGATATTCTCAACAGCTTTTTAGAAGTCTTAAGTACACAATGAACACCAGGAGTTAAAGTTTTAAATACCCTCCTTTCATGTGCAATCTTGAAGCTTGTAACAGCAAACCAGTGTTTGTGGATTATATCTGTATCAGGCCATTGTGTGAAGCATTATAATTTGAGTCAAGTTGTGGAGAAGTGGTGCATTTGCAGAATACCAATCATAGGATTTTATCTGATATACTTTTGAGTTCTTGGTTGCAGAACACCGGAGCCTTAGTACAAAATCTAACTGGCTTTTTTTAGTATATAGTACAGATGCAGTTGAGTAGTAGTCTTTTTGGAGGTTAGTACTTGGGAGTAGAGGGACACGGGTGGCGCTGTGGGTTAAACCACAGAGCCTAGGACATGCCGATCAGAGATCGGCGGTTCAAGTCCCCGCGACGGGGTGAGCTCCCGTTGCTTGGTCCCTGCTCCTGTCAACCTAGCAATTTGAAAGCATGTCACAGTGCAAGTAGATAAATAGGTACCGCTCCGGCAGGAAGGTAAACGGCATTTCCATGCACTGCTCTGGTTCGCCATGCTGACCACATGACCTGGAAGCTGTACGCCGGCTCCCTCGGCCAATAAAGCGAGATGAGCGCCGCAACTCCAGAGTCGGCCACGACTGGACCGAATGGGCAGGGGTCCCTTTACCTTACTTGGGAGTAGGATTCTTCAGTGATTTTCTAGATGAATAAAATGAATAGTGGAATGAAAAGAGTCCCCTCGCTAACAGGAATAAGGGAATTATTTCTTCATTTGTGTATTCCAGGTAGGGTTGAAAGAAACGTTTTATGACATATTAAGGAACTACTAGGCAGACCATTTTCTTTGATCTGTTAACTAGTTTGACATTGGGTGTAGTTACAGCATAATACCAATAACCCAATGTCTGCATTCATTTTCAAACAATGCTGAACTTCTGTCATTAAAATGCTTTTTCAGACTGGTTACAAAAGCCATTTTCCCCCCAAATCATAAAATTGGCTTATGTTAGTTTACTAATCCTAGAGTTGCTGTATGATAAGTAGAAGGTGCACTGATTAGCCACTCTGCTTTAGGAGGCTGAAGACATGTCAGAAAATATTGAACATGGACTGACAGTTTGATTGACAACTTAGTGCTGCAAATTCCCTTGTTATCTGTTAAATGCACCTGGACTTAAATTGGCTAAGGCTGTATTTTTTCTATGCCACAGAAAAGTATCTATTATAAACTATATGTAAGATTCATTCATGTTTAAAAATCTATGCATCCATCAACACTATAGGTCCTGAGAGCATGACTGGTTCACAAGCAGTACATGCATTAGGAGTTTTGCACATGGTAAAGGGCTTTTAAACATTACCCTATACGATCAGGATAGTGATAGACTTTCCTACAGCTTGCATGTGGAGTCAGTTTTTTCTTAGCCAAATTTTAGTACAGGCTTTCCCAAACTTGGGTCTACAGTTGTTTTTGGGACCACAACTTCCATCATCCAGAGGTCAGGGGTGGTGGGGATTGTAGTCCAAAACCAGCTGGAGACCCAAGTTTGGGAAATCCTGCCTTAATATATCGGTTGGACTACAATTCGCATCAGCCCCAGGCAGCATAACCAGTGTCAAGGATATTTGGGAATTTTAGTTTGTGTAATTTCTGGAGGGCCATAAGTTTGCCTTGCCTGCTTTAGAGCATCTGCTTTGCATGCTGAGGATCATGGCTGGGAATGTCTCATGTCTGAAACCCTGGAGAGCCATTGCCACTCAGTTGGACAAATGGTCTGACTTGTCATAAGACAGCTTTCAATGTTCTGTAGTGTTGAATACGTAAAGGACAGTTTATCTTCAGGTGCAGCTTCTGTCCAAGAAATTCCTTTAACGCCTACCATGAAATACTTCTGAACTTGGATGTTTCATTAACAATTTACTGACAGAGTTAAGGTGATCATTGTCTTTTACTGGATGTCCATCTTTTCTTCATCTCTACTTTGCTGCTCTCATTCTCTGGACATATATGACAATAGCTGCTTGTATCTAATTAACTGTTGGAGCCTGCTGTTGAGCTTTCTGGTCTGAGACCTGTACTGCGTGTTTAAAATACTAGTTGTTAGCGTTTAAAATTCTGGCTATAGTTGTGGAACAGGTGCGTGTGCCAGACAGTGGAAGCAAGAGATGAGTGGAAACCTGTAGGTACACAGATGTTAACTTTATTAGGCCAAATGCATTTAAGACAGGAATCTTCTTCAGGAACTCTATGGAATATAAATGGTTGGGGATTTTTTGTTATTTTAACTGCATAGTGCCCCTGAAAAAGTTCCTAATTCAAAATGCATTGATCCTAATAAAGTACATACCTATGAATGAAGAAGCCTGTTTCACCCACAATTGGTGCTTTCACACCTTTCCTTTCTTGCCAGAAACTGCAGCCAGTTCTTAAAATTCATATACAAGTTGATTAGCAACACAAACTTATTAGGTTTCTATACCATCTTTCATCCAAGGATCACATGGCAGTTCACAATTTAAAAATGCAAAAATAATTAACATAGTAACAAACAAAACCCCCTCCCCCCACAGTTTAAAAGGCCATAGATTATTTAATTAGCCAAAGGCCTGGGAGAACTTGGTTAGATACAATCCTTTAAACCAGGGGTGGGGATCTGATTGTGCTCAATACTCTTACTTTGCAGCCCTGGCTTTAATTTGATTTCAAGTCAGAGCTCCAAAGATCCCTGCCAAAAGCAGGTTTTGCAGTCAGCTCGGAATTTAAATCTATGGCTAAGTGCAAGTTCCATTTGGCAGGGATCCACTCCCAAGAGGATCTGATCCCAGCAGTGCATGCATTGAATTCAGCATCAAAAGCAAGCCCTGTTTTCCATACCAATCAATCATAATAATAATAAGGACCCCCCACCAGGCCAAATTCAAGCCAGAGGTTCCTCATCCCTCCTTTAATAAGAGGTCATTAATGGTCTAGCATTGCCAGAGGCTTGCAAAATCCCGACTGCGTAGTAGTGTTGGACATTGCTGAGCCTTCTGTATTTTCAGGATACTAGTGGCTGCTAATGGCACTTGCAAGTGCTAGTGCTGTCATCCCCTAGATGGTTGTCCTGCCTCTTAAGTCTTCTGAGGGAGGAATTAGCTGCTGGGCAGTGTGCTAAATGAAATTCTTTTTTGCTTTACAAGGATAGAAAGTTAGAGGGGCTTAAGGACCAGTAAGGTGGCAGCACATATGGCCGTTTCAAACACACACTTTAATGTAGAACACACTCCAACGAGAAAAGTTGTGCTCAAAAGTAATTTCACGTGGCTTCATAAAGTTTCTGAAAGTACTTGAGATGTTGAGTCCGTCTTTTGTGATTAGTTTCTCCAATACTTGTCTGTCTGCTCTTTCCATCCAACTGCATGGCTTCATTTGTCAAAGTTCTTGTGTAAGTTGTTATCCTGCTGTGTTGTATTTTGGAGGTTCTGAACATGCAGGCTGGCTGCCAAAGTTCCCTGCCCCATTTTTAAAAAGTCCTTCTGGCCGTACAGGACAGGGGAGGAGTTTGTGAGCCTGATGCTACTCTTAACCATGGAGGTTTATCCAGGTACCACGAAACTGTCATTAGCATTAATTGTATCCTAAAGCAGTCTAAACCCAGTTAGGCTAAAAAATTATGCCCGTGGGTGGTATCCAACACACCCTAAGAATAGAGCCATTTAAATTAATGGGCATTAATTTCAGTAGGTCTACTCTGAGTAGGGCTAGCACTGAATACAATTCTATATTCATATCCAGGACCAGCCTTTGAGGTCTGCTGAGGAACTCAGGCTAAACTTGAAAATAACATTTAGCTAGTGTGGGTAACAGTTATGAAACTAAACTTTTTAGTATTTATGTTCTAAATTGGGGAGGGGGTGTTTGGAGAGAGTCCTTTGTTGTAAGTGGTTGCCATTTGCCTAAAACCTTTCAAGGCCTAAATAGAAAACAAATTATATTTTTCTTAAACTCTGTCTAGCAAATCTTTCTTTTAAAAATCCGCTTTTAGAGTAGAACCCAAAAACAAGAACCTATCTAAACCCTACCATGTAAAATGTTTTCTCCACAGATATTGGGAGAGAGACATATTCTCATCTCTGCTTTCAAGAAAGTGGCATTCTCGAGCCCTCTGAAGGACAGTACTTCAAGGTTGACCGTGCAGCTAAATTGAACTTCCATTTACTGTTATTGTACCATGGGCTGTATTAAATCCAAAAGCCCCTTCCCACACACTATTCTAGATGATGGAAGCCGGGAAGTCAGCGAATATAGTGGAGGGAACGTAGATAAATCTTCCCAATTTCAGACAAAGTCTGGGATGTCATCTTCAGCAAGCCCTGCAGTGATGGACTTTGCTCACCGTCTCTCCCTAGAGATTCTGGATCAAGCTGTGAAGCAATGGTCAATGATTGAAAACAAATATAGTGACATCCCCTACATAGAAAGTGACGATTCATGAATTGCAAGGCTTGGCTCCTCTCACTTTGTCAGGCGTCTCTTGTTTTTGGTGCTAGTGCAAATAAAGCGACATTCATACAACAGCAGTTGTGATTTTGAAAGACACCGGTTGTACAGATGCAGCTAGCCTTGATTCTGGTAATGTAACACCTTGCCTTTACTATTCAGTTTTTAACAGAACCACACACAGTAGCATCAGATGGTTCATCAACTTGTGTGTAGTAACTCAGTGCTTCAATCAGTTGTGTTCAGTATTGGCGGCAGCACTAAAGGTGCACAAGAACAAATGCATAAGTGCTCGCGTTTTTGAAATCTCTGGAACAGTGGGTATAGTTGAATTAAGATTGAGCCAGGGTTTAAGAAATAAGGTTATAACTATTAGTTGTGATGGTGAAGTAGGCATGTGAATTGCTAACTTCACCTAAGAGAAAATTGTAAATGTAAGCATTGAATACAGTGTTGCCAAAGTTAAGAGTTTTAAGTCCCATTTATAGGAGAGAGTTAGCAAAGTGTTTAACTCTACCAGTGAAATACAAGGGATACAAGTGCTACCACCATCAGAGCTTCTTTTTCTAGACATATCTGATCCTTTTGATGTACTGGGGCTAGTTGTTTGCAACTTTGTTCGGTTGAGTACACAAATCGTATGTCAGACCAAAGACTTGCTGCTGTAAGGGAGATGAATTAACATTGAATGTTGATGGTTAAGAAACAAATTACACTGAAAATACTCAACAAATAATGAAAATTCCTGGGTACTGTTGAAAAAGCATTCCAGACTATTTTTTTGTTGGTAACAAAGTAAACAGGGCAGCATGCCTTTAAAAATATCACATTTTAATTTGAATACCCTTTGTCAAGACCACAATATTCCAATTTAAAACACTATTTGAGAGAAAAGGGGAAATGCAGCAGACAGAATGAAAGGCAGAACTGGAAGAGGAGAGAACTAGGTAAGTTATTTGAGGATTTAGTCAAATGATCAACAGTTTTGCTGAAAATGTTTGGGCTATGTCCTCAATATTATTTTCAGCTATGCAAGTTCTAGTTAGCAGAAGACAAATGAAATGCAGGTTATATCCAAGGCAACATACGAGTCCCACTCTTTAGTTTTGCTGGTGAAAAAAAATTTAATTATGAATGTAATGAACTTTTACTTGTTCTTGGACCAACCGTGGCATGCAATATCATTTCTGAACACTAAATTTCAATTTAGTAAAATTTCCGTACTGAAATGGTGGGGGTGGAGGGGAGGGTGATCTCCAAGCAGTGCTGTCGTATCTTATTGTAGTAGAAATAGCAGCAATGTGTGAGAATCCACCTGTCCCAGATGCTGCATTGTTTCTCCTGCTGCATTCCTTTGGTAGCAGGCATATTGCAAAGATACAATCTTAAGAGCCCTGGAGTAATAGCAGGGGAAGAGCTTGACTTCTCCAGATCTTCAACACCAGATGAAGTTCTTAATATTTTTAGAAATATTTCATTTCTACGTAAATTAATATCACTAAAGTGGACGCTAACCAAAATAAAACTGAATGCGACCCCTATTATACTTTATAAATGATATATTACTGCCAGTGTTCTATCAATGTATCACAAAAGATTTAGCTTCTGTTTGATACTGTCTAATATGGACATTAACAATACACTTTATTTTGAGCATATTTTTATTTTAAAATCAGGAAAATGACCAAGTAAATATGGCAAAAGCCATGCTTTAAAGCACTATCTACAGCACAACTTTGTAAATCTGGTACTTCTGTAGCACAAGGAAATGGTAACCTAAACTATAGCTTATTACAATATATTTTTTACAGTATATGTTATGTTTTCTTTCTACCCAAATGATTAATCACTTTCAACTGTGTTTGAATAAAAAAAAAATCATACTTTTGTGTATTTATTTGGAAACTGAATGAGAGCTTTAAAAACACATACAATGGCTTGAATGGGTGCATGAGGGAAGAACTGGCATGACACATCAAGGTGGAAATATACCGTGATTACATTGCCTGTGTTGTTTTCTCTCATTTTCCAAAAACTTAATCACAAATGTCGAGCCTGAAATCTGGTTGAAAAACTTTAAATTTGAACTTAAAAGCTGGGTAGCTGCCATTGTGTTGCAATGGAATTTTGCTTTCTAGCACAGAATGGTGGTTTAGCAGAATCCAAATACTAGATGTTTAAGATATAAGGCCACTTGATGTCCCTGGTCCAGTACTGTTCTGAAGGCCTTAAACAAGAACCAAGATGAGAGATGGTTTAAGAAGAGAACAAGGAGGGGGTGGCCCTTCCACTTACATGCTGTGTAGAGATGGCAGGACACAAGTTGAGAAATCCTGCCCCCCCCCTCAAATCTTGGTTACAGAACAGTAGATTGGTCTGTATGTATATTTGCTCCCAATTTATGGAAATCAGGAAATCACAGTTCCTAAATTTCTTAAGGGGCTGCTGATGAATAATGTGGCTTTGTATTTCCTTTTCGTTATTCCATCCAGTTTCTCATTAACTATTACTAAAAATGTTTCTTTTCAAAAGGAGCTTTCTCATTTTCTAACAATTTTTTAGCTATCTTGATTCTTCAGAGAAATAGAAATTCTGAAAATGTGACATTATCATCTATTACCATGGAAACAAGTAGAACAGTGGCTTGACCTGCCTTACTATAAAAAGCCTATAGAAGGAAGATCGACAGCCAGCTGTGGCATGTAAATGTTCATTAACTAACCACCACAGTAACTAAAATCAATAGAATCTAGTTGCAGGGCATTGCTACATCTGCAGAAGCCCAAGAAACAGAAGAACTATTTAAATGCCAGCAAAATTTATATCACGGCAGAGCAGGGAATGTGTAGACAGAGTACAGGAAAAAGTCTGTGTCCACACAAAACTTAAATATGCACATTGCAGCTTCCCCAGCCCTCAGGAACTCAGGGCTCACTCTATCTCTAGCCTCTTATTTTCCTCTACAGAACTCAGTGGAAGTTCCTGAGAACTGAACTAGCTGTGTATAGTCCAAAACCTGAAAATGACATACCATTCTCATGTAAGGTGGTAAAACTCAATTATGATTTCCCCAAGGGATCCTGGTAGGCAGTCACGAGGCTGGGATGTCTCCTCCCACCAGCTGCACAGGCGGGGACCAAATGGCTGATCCTACATGGGGGTGGAACCATCTCACCGACGCCTTTTGTTTGGGACAGCTAGGGTTTTCTTACCTTTTAAAAAGTGAAGAAATTCTCCATTGCTGCCACTTTCCAAGCAGACGCTGCGCGGGATGCAGTGCAGCTTCGCTAGATGTAACATCTGGCTTTGCAACTGGGACATCAATGCCACAGAGCCGGCTTGCTAACTCACAGCAGGTGGAAGCTCTTTGAGGAGCTGCTAGTGGAGACACATGACAAACAGAAGGCACTCCTGCGCTTTAAGAAGGGTGATCACAATACAATTAGCAACATTCCTCAAGCATCTACAAACCACGCACAGCGAGCCACAGCCGCCTCTTCTGCTTGGCCACAGTCCAACTCTGGGTATTCCTCACCCATGAAGTTTCAGAAGGTAACCGAAAAGCAGTTTGTGTGATGCCAGGTCTCCGGGCCTCCAGGAGGCAGACTTCTCCACATCTGACAGGTGAGTGATTGCTACTTGCTGGATTTTTCAGACAGCCAAGAGATAAATTTATCAATACTCATTAGTCCAGGGAGCCAGACAAGCACAGCCACTAACCATCTTTTAGCTATTCTGGCAATGGATCCAGTGCCGCAATGAGACAGGAAGCACAAGGTGTACTTATTATTCTTCCTGGCTAAAAACAGAGGGAGATTCGAGCAATCCTCGACCTAAAGTGGCTGAACAGGAGGATGGCCTAAAAAGAATTCAAGATGGAGACCTTTAAGTCAACATTAGAGGCCATTCAATGAGGTGACTGGTTGGTGTTGATAGACCTGTTGGAGACTTGCCTCCATACACCTAGCAACAAAAACACAGGAAGTACATGTTTTCCATCAGATCTTATTTTTATGTAAATATTCAAGCAGGTTCAATCAAGTCATATATCTTACCCTCCAAAAATACAATCATAGGTTTTCATGAATCTCACATGTACTGTCCAACGACAAATCAGCTCCTGACTCATCAGGACAAACTAGTTGGGTGTGGCTAAGATATCTTGGTTAGAACACTCTTTTCGTCCACTTCAAGTCTTTGGATCACAGCTCAACAGCTCATCCATCTGGATTGATTAAGTTTCCATACATTATGATAAAGGTAATTGTGATTATTTTAAATTCTTGTTTTATCTCATAAGCCACCTATAAAACATATTTTTAAAAATGGCACATATTTTAAAAACAACCCAATATGCAGACAATATTTAGTTGATTCAAGGATATCTGAGTCTTTATATGAAATAATCTTGTTCATTTTACATGGAAAAGTAAAAATGCAAACACACAGGTGATAAAGCTCTAAGATGGATATGTGGCTAACCCCTGGATAGCACTGCCCCAACAATTCCCTCTAGACTAATATTTGACCCCAGTACTTGATATAACAGCAATGAGCATTTCACTCAATGCCAGTTATCCCAAATATCCCAAATTCAAAATTATTCATTAGTTGCTTTAAGTAAAAGCTAGAACTAAAAGAGGCACAGCATTAGTCCAAATCTTTTATAATTTGAGATCACCGCTTCCCAGAGACTTAAAGCATGAGTCCAAATATTCATCTGTTACTTCTTCCAAAACGGCTGGCTTCCACTTTGGAGACTGATCTTTGTCAATTATCACTACCAGAGAAAACAAAAATAATAATGTTCTCATTAAGATACCTTTTTAATATTTGAAACAGGTGTTATCCTTGTGCCAATGAATATCGAGAACAAACTGTTATAGCACATCAGGATGTAACAGGTGGTCTGGGCATTCTCTACAGAGAATGGAGAAGTAAATATTGCTTTAAATCCTATCCAAGAATAGAATGGCTGAGAACGAAACAGTCAGCAAAAAACCCCAGCAGCCTGTGATGCATGCATTGTAACGTTGAACTTTTGCCATACAAAGTATCAGACCAAGTGATCATAATGGGTTCCCCTTTTCACTCCTAATATCCACATGTTTTGATCATTTTATGTTTGCTTTTCAAAAACTTGCTATGCTTTGTGGGCGTTAATCTTCTTTCAAGTCCGTATCTGTGCAAAGGGTCCAAGGATCCTTGCTGATTTATGTTTCAAAAAAGTCAAACAAGACTTACAGAGGCCTCTTAGTTATGACACCTGCCATGGGAAAAGCGGGGAGAAGCTTCCCCCAAAGTGTAAAATGTCACAACGCATTCACTGAAGGCTTATTATGCTTAGCTAGCAAGGAAGACTCGTCTATCCAACACCAAGTAGACGACCAAACCCTCTTTAAAGCGCACAGCACTCATTATAGGGGGCTGCACTGCTCTTGCCAAAGAATGGGGGAAATGTGACCTCCAGGGTGCTGCTGCTCTCCAAATCTCATCCCAAAGGCTTCCCAGCTCTGCTGTATTATTAGATTATAAGACTGCCTGCCTGCCAATTGCCTGATATCACAATGATGTCAAGTGACCCGTTTTGCTTTGGCGAGGAATTTGAAATCAAACTGCAAAGGCACGAGGCTTTTCATGTGCCAGTGATCAGCAGTGCCTGCTAACCGTGCTTTTGGCTGAGTGAGCCGCATCTATACCTGCTCACATCTGCCATATATAACATCAGGTGCAGGGCAGGTAAGTATGGATTGACCAAAACAGTCTTGCGTGCCAAATGGGGAAGCCTGGCTGGCCGAATTAGGCTCACAGGTTGAAGGTTCCTCATTGCTGTATCAATGTACGTTAAATCAAGTGCCAATAACTTTATTGTGAGGGGAGGGGTGTTACTAGCCAATCTTCCTCGCATGAGCACAGTGTAATAAGGTTAGAAATGGTATTGACCTAGTGACGATTTGAGAATGAAAGCAGACACTTATAACCCTGCTTTGGTAGCAGTCAACCTTCAGGTCAAAAAGAGCCAAGCTATTCAAATAGAAAATGGATTATCTACAGCTGCTCTGAATGTTTATTTCTCAGTCAGCACTTCACGGGGCTATGCAGATCAGCACGACAAATAATCTGGTTCTGCCCTTTGTCTGACTCCTAGATGGTTTTTAATAACCTGGCACATTAGCAATAAGAATCACAGTTATTGGTATTTCTGTCTGCTTTGAATGAGGACTCCAGCTTCCATCTTGTCACTGCTTGCATTCCCCCCCCCCTTTAATGGCTAATGCAGTAAGTTACATGCTAGTAGCCTGAGAAGCAGAGCAACTGCATTAGAAACACTTTCATTATTAATTCTTTAACACAATACTTGCACATAATTTTTTGCTTTATCCACAGTTGGTAAGCAGATTGATAAACTTAGCAAAACGGAAATTAAAATAAATTCAAAGTACAGCGTATCCTGTAACTATGTCCCATTTCCTCATCTGTGTTAGGCAATCTCATCATCAATGTATGTTTGCAAAGCAGAGAAACTTATAAACACCCCGCACACCACAAGCAATGCTTCTTTCAAGCCTGGCAGGCTCTCCAGCCCTACGTCCACAATTCATCTTGGGGGGGAAATCTGAGGCTGAGAAGAGTTAAGGGAGGCTTATTTCAGAAAGAGTTAAGAATTAAAACAAATTAATTGGGTCGTCTGATTATTTCTTAGAATGACTGGCCATGTAAAACAATGGCGTAAGCAATTCTGCCTGGAGCACTCAGTAACTGTTTTAACATCATTAGTATTGGCATCATTAAAAAGTTAAACCGTACGTCAGGTAGGTAAGGTCACTGAATATTCACATTTCACAACTATTCTAGAGAAATTTGCGACTCAAGGCGGCTTACTGCATTTGCTGTGGGACTTCATATTGGTCCAATTTCTGAAAGAACTGCACTAGCAGTTTGATCTCATTTTTAAAATAAGGTCCAAAAGCATTTGACTGATGTTCCTAAACACAGCAATCCAAGGTCAACACTGTGGTTGGTATTAGCATTCAAATCTCAGTTGCCTGCCTGCTTCTGCTTCCCATTCTCGTCTGCCTTGCCTGAGCAAAGAGGCTATGCAACAAGAGTGCTTCACTGTGCCCTTTCTCCCTCATAGGTGTCTTGAAATATAATAGTTAAGGAACAGCAAAATGCAATTTTAGTGCTACAAATATTGAGTCTGATAACTGTTACACCTTTAGTTTTTTCCCCATGCATGTTCAATCGGGAATGAAGACCTCCAAGTAGTCCCTTGTCACTGGTCCGTGCTGCAGTCTTGAGAGTTGTTCTGGCATTCTGACAAGTTTACTAGGAGCCGGGCACCTAACCCAACTAACTGCCATCAGCCTTACGTGATGCTGGGTTCTAGATTATCTGCCCCAAGCCTGCATGCCTTGGGTTAATCTTTCAGGATGCTTAACTCACAAAACATTGTGTGCGACAGCTGTCGCTAATGATGAAAGGAGAACTTTAAGTGAGAGAGTATGATGGCTGCAGTTCACCACAAAATATAGACTATAATAAGGCAAATTGCTACCCACAAAGCAAGGATTCAGAGAGATACCCAACAGACTTGGCATCTAAAAAAAGCAAACCAGGCCTGGGGATTGCAGGGGTCAGGAAGCAGGTTTTCTAAGTTTTGCAAACATTTTGCAAACCTTCCTACAAAGGTTTGCAGCACAAGAAGTCAATGTCAAACGGGCTACTACTTGTCTACCAACAATACAAAAGCAAAAAAAAAAAAAAGTAAAAAAAAAAGTGGGGGGATGAAAGCTAGGAAGCTGAAATGGCCTCTCCAGCCTGTGCTTTACCTGCTCGGACGCCTTCATAGAAGTCATGGCCTCGCTGGAAGAAAAAATAACTCATCATAATACAGTAATTCCCTAGCACACTTTGAGATATCAAATTCAAATTAATGTAGTCTAGATAGCACATGTAAGCCAAATTTCAGCATGGTGTTCATTTATTTAAATTATATCCCACCTTTCTCCCAGTGCAGGGCCCAAAGCAGCTCATAACACCCAAGGTCTGACTGAACAAAAAAGTCTTGGCTTGCTAGCAAAAAGAAAAGCAGAGAGGAGGAGAGCCTGGGCTTATGTGGAAGGAAGTTCCACAATCTGGGAGCAGTCACTGAGAAGGCCCTCTCTCATGTCCTCACCAAACATGTCTGTGAAGGTGATGGGA